GGCTGAGAGTGGGGGGTGAGGAGGTGAGGTGGGAGGGGGGGGAATAACTTGCCCAAGTCAAATCCAGAGGCAGTGGCCCCACTGGGACTAGAAAACACATCTCTTGATTCATAAAAACAAGTTGGCAAAGCTAATTTATCTGCAGGCTGCTTTTTTCAAGGAAAAACACCATCTACTAGAGTAGAGAGTCCAGTTCAAAAATGTTTATAAAGGAACATGGAAATGTTGTGGAGCCTTGGATTCCAGGCTTGGACATCGGGCTTTGGCCTTGAGTGAGCAGGGATGTGTTGGAGGTGTTGCTTATCTCTGATCAGAGCAACATGGAAATAGTGTTTCTCCTCCACTCAGGACTGGGAAGCAGGGCCTGGGCAGTGGCTCCCTGGGAGGGCTGTGTGACTCTGTCATTTCACCCTTTGAATCTGGCTCTGCTAGGTCGGAACCGGAGGCCATGCTGTGAAAATTCACAGTTGCACCCAGCCCCGCCCAACACCCCCTTCTCCCTTAGGAGACCTGGCCTTGCAGGACCGCCCGCACTTCTGAGTTCAAGTCTCCTTGGTGATGAAATGGGGTTGACAGTTCTGCCCCGTCTGCATGCTCAGGGTGCTGAGAGGAGGCCGGGAATGAGGGAAGTGAGAGAGCTCGCAAGTGTGCAGGTGATAGCGCGGAGAATGCAGTGCCCAGTGACATCAGGGACGTGGGAGTAGAGTAACTAGTGGAGGAGCTCCACCCCGTCAGCTGCCCCGGAATTAGCATGGCTCTGGGGTGGTGTTTACATTATGATTTGGGTCACTGCTGTGCTGGCCTCGGGCCCACTTTATCAGCTGTCATGAGAACTTGTTCTTGGCAGGTCGCTGTCCAGATTCCGGCACACGCGAGTCCCCCGCCCCATCGCCAGTTCCAGGATCCGGGAAGGGAGAACGGACTGCTTTTCCCTCCCTGTGGGCTGGTTCCCAGAAGAATCCTGGTGTTTCTCCCAAATGCTGGGTCACGTACACTTTGTTTTGTTCTGGAGATGCTTCCAGCTGGAGTGGCTCTCAGGCAGCCGGGCAAGGGCAGCACGGCCTGGGGGCAGTGGGGTGGGGGGAGTGGGCTAGACTGGTGGGCAGGCTCTGAGAGGGGACCCACGCACAGGTGTCCTACTCCCCAAGCCCCTCCAAGGAAGCGGGCAGGAAAAAGCTGGCACACCAGACCAAAACATAGTGGCTGTGGGACTGTTTTCATGACTGAGGAGAAGTAGGCCCCGTTCCTCCTTATCCCAGCCCACCTCCCTGCTCCCGCCTGCTCCAGGGGTAGAAAAGATGAGAAGTTAAAAAGCCAGTCTGGGTACCGTTGGGAACATGGCTACCGAAATGGCTTCTGTGACTGCCCAGAAGTCATTCTTAGAGTTCCTAGTGTGTGCCAGGTGCTGTGTGAGACACAGGGCCACGGAGAGGGGAGCTCTAGCCTTTCAGAGAGGCCTGTCCTCTTTGGCGACCACAGTTGGAGGTGAGTGGCTGGGCACAGAGTGACCTGACCATGCTTCAGGGTGCCCCCCGTGGGGAGTTTGTGCACAGTAATGCCTGAGACTCTTTCCAGCTCTGAAATGTGGGCGCTCGGCTCTGGTGTCTGAAGAGCTCAGAAGGGTGTGCAGGATGGTGAGTTCCAGGGCTGAGGGACAGGACGCTTAGAAAGGATGGGATGGGGGGGCGGGGCACCATGAGGAGAACGCCTTTGCTGAGGTGGAAGAAGCCTGTAGGTGTGCAGAAGCACGACCCGTTAGGAGTGACCTGGAGGGGTCTCTGAGAGAGGGGGGCCCAAGGGCACCGAGTCCCTTTGATTCTGATGAGATTAATTAACAGAATGAGCATGGACAGGGTTGCAGAGAGAAAGGGGAGACAAGGGGGTCTCTCAAATGGCTGGGAGCGAGGCCATGAGAACCCCGATGAGCTTGGTGCTGGTGAGGAAGGAGACAGACCCGACACGGGAGCCTCCTCAATGAGGAGCCTTGAAGAGTAACAGCAAGGAAGGCAGAGCAAAGGGATGAGTAACAAAGCAAGCTCGAGACTTTTAGCCTGGATTCCTGAGAAAATGATAAAACGTCAGATCCCAGGAGTACATTACACATGGGCAGCAATGATTTGAAGAAACGCTTGATCGGCAGAACTCTAAGTAGCCTGGCCCCTGAGACTCAGACCAGCCACGTTTTAGGTTCCTCTGAGTCTGCTGGGCCAATCACCCAAGGAAGGGACTATGGTTTGGAAGTCATTACCCACCTTTACTGTCCACCCCAACGTCTTCCCAATTCATCTCTAATACAGACCCTCACGAACCCATTATTTGTGTCTTAAAAATTATGTGCAGCCCAGCCGGCGTGGCTCAGTGGTTGAGCATCGACCTATGAACCAGAAGGTCAGGGTTCAATTTCAGTCAAGGGCACATGCTCAGGTTGTGGCCTCAATCCCGGGGGGGTGGGGGGCATACAGGAGGCAGCCAATCAATGATTCCCTCTCATCATTGATGTTTCTATTTTTCTCCCTCTCTGAAATCAATAAAAAAAAGTATTAAAAAAATTATGTCCATGTGAAGAATGTTTTCAGACCTGACTGTCTGAGTGACCCAGCCAAGCTTGGCAGGGTGAGTTCAGATGCAGGTTAGGATCTTCACATGCAGTCATCTTAGAATCATTCTGATGAAACGCTACGGAAAATGGGGTGCAGATTGTCAGGGATGGCTTTGCCACTCAAAGATTCCCAAGTCTCTTTATATCCATGATGCCATGTAACCCACTTATGCATCGCTACCAATGCCCAAGAAGGGAATTTTCATTTAGATTTTCTAGAACCAGGACCTGGAACTCAACATGCTCCATATCCACAATCAACCCCAAGTGAACTCTGCCACCCTGACGCCCTGCCATCAGGGCCCTTCTGCTGGGCAGCGCCCTCCCTTCGTGAGAATTGCTCTAGGGAAGATCCATACTCATCAGAGTAAAGAGAACAAATTGGAGTGTCTGGTCCATTGCATCCTTGACCTGCTCAGTTCCTGGAGCTCTGGGTTCCATGAGGGGAGGAGCAGAGGGGGCAGAGGAGAGTTAAAAGGGGTGGGATGTGCTGGGGCTGGGACAGGCAATCGGCCCACCCCTGTGGCAGCCCATGGAGTACAGAGACCCAGGGACCTCTCTCAGTCTCCTTTCTTCAGCCTTGCCCTGGCCAGAGGTTGCTGGGATGGGTGTTGGGAAGCTGATTGGATTCTTCAGTGTGTCTTTCCTCTCCTCTGTAGTCTTAGTTGTGTTCTAAACAGGTCTGTGTCTCCACTCTGTCACCTGAAAACTGGGATCAGTATGACTTTGCTTTTCTTCAGAGAAAAGAGGAAGATGGCTCCAGAAGCCAGTCCTCGGATGATTGGTGTAACTCGTGTATTTTTAAATTGTTGGTTACGTTTCCTCTGTGCATGTGCCATTGAATTATTAAACAGCTGTCTACTTCGGTTAGGGTCTGAGGACAGTGCCAACTTTTGGAATGTGTCGGTACATCTTGATCTTGGCCTCCTGGTTGTTTTGTATGTATTAACACCCTCTGATCTCATAAACTCATTCATTCATCAAATATTTATTGTGCAAGACATTTGCTGCTATGCTGTGAGCATACATGTTTTGGTTTCCCGGAGCTGCCATAACCAAGTACTGCAAACTCGGTAGCTTAAAACAACAGAAATGTCTTCTCTCATTGTCCTGGAGGCCAGAGGTCTGAAATCAAGGGGCCCACAGAGCCACAGTCCTTCCGAAAGCTCAGGGATCCTTCTCGGCCTCTTCCTAATTTCTGGTGTTACCAGAACCCTTGTAGACACATCCCTCCAATGTCTGCCTCCAATGTCATGTGACCTTCTCCCCAGGTGTCAGCCTGTGCTTTCTCTTCTTATATGGACCCCAGTCATTGGGTGTCCTGTTCCAGAAAGCCACCTTCTAATCTTGGTGCTGTTTGTAACCCTTTCAGGACCACCGGGCCCCAAAGGTGATCAGGGCGATGAAGGGAAGGAAGGCGAGCCTGGAATCCCTGGATTACCTGGACTTCGAGGTAATGGGGAAACCCCCGGGAGGGACCTGGGCATTCCAGGAAGGGAAGGGGCCGCCAATCCATTCCTGCCCCTCTGCTTTCTCATTGGGTTGGTCATGTGCCCAATCAACTCAGCCTCAAATGCCCTGCTCCGTTAGGAGACTGACCGGTTATGGGTGTGACAATAGGATGGAGCAAATACTTTTTCACAGAAAGTACCAGGAATTGAAGGAAAAGGGTACATGAGAGGCTCACAGCTCCCTGAAATGACTTTTCACCCCAGGAGACAGGCTCTGTGTGACCAGGGCCTGCAGAAGGAATTGAGGGTGTTCTGTGATCCAGACCAGCCCTTCAGTTATGCTGTGCCCCCCTCAGTGGATCACCAGGTCCCTGGTGTCCCCACCTCCTGCT